CAGATTGTTATGTTGTGAGGGAAGGTAACGGCGTGGACAAAGCAGGGGAAATTACACATGCAAATCGCCTACGAAAGCTGAGGAGCACCACTTGACAACGTGAGAGCTTCAACCACTTGGTGATATAAGCCAGAAGCTGCCATAAATCAATCCAGGATCAACTTTCTTCCAAGAAATTTGGAGCAAAGCGCTAGGAATCTTGAGCAACTTAAACGAAGGTGATTTTTTTGTATCTCTCTTAATAGGACTTCTGTTTGTAGGGACGCTATGAGTCCAAGGCATAGAATGAAGATCACGCAAAATATTAGTACCGCTTTATAAAACGCTAGTGAGGCCACACCTGGAATACTGCAGCCAATTTTGATCACCATATCACAAAAAAAGATGTTGAGAGTTTGGAAAAAAATTCAGAGAAGAGCAACTAAGATGATCCAAGGCCTGGAGACTAAAACATACAAAGAACGGCTGCAGGACTTGGGTTTGGCTAGTCTAAGGAAAAGAAGAAATAGGGGAGACATGATAGAAGTCTTCCAGTATCTGAGGGGCTGCCACAAAGAAGAGGAGGGGGTCATATTATTCACCAATTACCAGAGAGAAGGATGAGAAACAATGGATCTCCATCACTGAGTCTTCTCAAGTCAATGCTAGACCTATTGTCTGGATTCAGTTCTGTCCAGATAGTCTTGGAGCCAGAAAGAACATCTCTTGGTTCTGGAGCCAAAAAATATAAAGAAAGGCTGCTGGAATTGGGCATGTCTAGTTTAATGAAAAGACGGGCTAGGGGCGACATGATAGCAGTGTTCCAGTATCTCAGGGATTGCCCCAAAGAAGAGGGAGTCAAGCTATTTTCCAAGGCCCCTGAAGGCAGGACAAGAAGTAATGGATGGAAACTAAGCAAGGAGAGAAGCAACCTAGAACTAAGGAGAAATTGACAGTAGAACAATTAATCGGTGGAACAACCTGCCTCCAGAAGTTGTGAATGCTCCAACACTGGAAGTTTTTAAGAAGAGACTGGACAGCCATTTGTCTGAAAGGGTATAAGGTTTCCTGCCTGAGCAGGGGGTTGGACTAGATGACCTCCAAGGTCCCTTCCAACTCTGTTATTCTATTCTATTCTATTCTGTTCTGTTCTGTTCTGTTCTGTTCCTTTCTGTTTTTCCTGATCAATTAAGCAGTGGGCAGAGATTGATCTCCAAGTTCTAGGATTGGTCTGCAGGAGATGACCCTGGAGGGACGGGTCAAATGCGTCACCAGTCATGAGTCCCTGTGTGCCCACAAGAGATCAAAGGCCAGACCACCTTGAATTCCTTCTGTTCTTAACTCACTCTAATTTCCCATGACCGTGAGTAGCTCAGATTCTTGTAGAGAACTTAAGCTTACAATAATTTTTTGTACGCTTTTGAACTTCCCGGATTTCTTCATTTCCTTGGTGGTCTTAATCACAACAAGCCCTTTCTGGGGTTGTTGTTTGATATACAGGTGGTCCTCATTTTAACAACCACAGCTCAGCCCACAATTTCCATGGTTAAGGGAGACTTTTGTTAAGTGAGGTTTTGCCTCGTTTTTGCGATCTTCCTTGCCTCGGTTGTTAAGTGAATCACTGCAATGGGTAAGTTAGTAACCCGGTCGTTAAGTGAATCCGGCTTCCCCTTGGATGTTTGCTTGTCAGAAGGTCGCCAAAGGGGATCACACGACCCCGGGGAACCCTGCAACCGTCATAAATATGAGTCAGTCGCCAAGCGTTGGAATTTTGATCACGTGACCACGGGGATGGCTGCAACGGTCATAAGTGTGAAAAACGGTCATAAGTTGCTTTTTTCAGTGCCTTTGTAACTTTCAACGGTCACTAAGTGAACTGTTGTAAGTGAAGGACTGCCTGTATTGTGCAGTATTGTATTGTTGGTTTGTTTTCATGAATGATTCACGTCGTTCAGTTGGACCTACCGTATATGCCGATGTACAAGGTGACCCGGCATATAAGACGACCCCCGTCTTTGTCGCCGAGCCACATTCCTAGAACGTCGTCTTATATGCCGGAAACTACCAGTATTTCCGGCATATAAGACGACTGGGCGTATAAGACGACCCCCGTCTTTGGCGCCGATTTTAGCGCTGGCGGAAGTCGCCTTATACGCCGGCATATACGGTAAGAAAAATATGTCCGAAATAAGCTTAGCTAATCCAGGAGAATAATCCTTGATTCTCCAAATCCCGAGTGGGATAAAACCGTTTGGGATCACTGATCAAGAGTGATGTAAAATCTTTTTTTGGGGGGGGGGTGTCCCCGGATGTCAGGTCTTGTTGTTGAGAATACAACTGAAGTGAAGAATAGGTTTCTAGAACCGTCGTATCTCTAAATATCTCCTCAGCAATATTCCCTTTCAATCTTGATGGCTGCCAGATCTTTCTGTTGCTCCTGGACACCGAAGATCACAGCTTCACGCGTTCCCCAAAAGCAAAATACCATATTTGGCCAATCTCTGCCCCAGCTGAGCAAAAACTTGCCAAGAAAATGTTTAACCCTTTGTGTATAAATAATGTGACAAATTACCCGGAGGAACATTTAAACACAGAGCTGTTGGAAAATTAAGGCAGGACTAGACCACGGGATTAGATCCAGCTATTAAGAGCAGGGCAGGACTAATAAATACCAGCGAGGTTTGATTTGTTTCGAGACACGAGAGATGTAGAAAGCCGAAACTGCCAGGCTAAATGTTTATTGGAATTATATTATTGAAAGTGAAAACTCTTCTCTAACGTCAACCTTTTGTTCTGATGATGTGTTTCTACAACTGCCTTTACCCTACATAGTAAATTCAATTCATCTAACCTTGGCTGGGGAGTTTTCCAGCTTTGGGTGTTGTGCAAATCCAGCTGTTTGTCAAATTTGTGTTGAAAGCTGTCCACGAGCCTAGGAAATGGATTAACGCATTAACCAGGTTAATGGATTAATGCATTAACCCGGTTAATCCCAAGGCACAAAAGCAGCCATTCTCACCCTTTTCCCGTTCAGTCTCCCGGGGTTTTCTCCTCCCCTGCTGCCAAATAATGGTTTAGCAAGGCTTTGGCAGCAGCTTGGAAAACTGTTTTTTTACTACAAGTTGGCTGCAGGGGAAAAAATGTCGCAAATCCATATTAGGCAATACGTTACACCCACCCAAGGTCAAAAAGTTCTCCTGTGATTTTCTTTTAAAAGGTTTTTTTTTTTTTTACTTTTTAACACCTTTCGTAAATCACTTGAGCCTTGTTTAAAAGAAGAGTTAAGATTAGTTGTTCTGCTATAAAATGCAGACAAGCGGAACTTTAAAATTTATTGGTTTGTTGATTAAGAAGATTTACAGGAAGTCCTCGAATTAAGAGCACAATTAAGCCCAAAATTTCTGTGGTTCAGCAAGACGGTTGTTGCGTGAATGTTGCCCCTGTCGAAAGAAAAATCTTCACCAGGGTCCAGTCCAAGCCGGGAATAAACAAAATGGAGACTGCTTTAGAAAGAAGGTTGCAGTTTATCGAAGAGCAGAGCCAGACAGAAACACGGCTCTAAGAAAAAACTGACCACATATAGTAGGGAGTGGTAGGTTTTTATACCTTCTTGGGCTTTTATTTGGAGTTGTTCCTGTGGCATGAATTTTGATCTGGGTCTGCTATTCTGGTATTCTGATGGTGGTGGGTTAATCCTATTATGTCCCAAAGGACATATCCTGCTTCCCTGGGGCTGTGGCTGATGACTGTTGGATTTTTTGGTATGAAGGATTGTTGATTCCAGGGATCCTTGTCTTTCTAATCCCAGCTTCCTGACTCCAATCTTTCTGACAGGATTATTACATCTGCATTTCTGCAGACCCGGTTTCTGTTTGGAGCAGAGAGACTTGGGGACGAGGTTGGTTTCTATCTTTAAGATCCTTTGGGGAAATATAATATTCTGCCTTTTTAATATTTTCCAAAATATTTCTTTCTCTGGATTCTTCCCACAACCCATTTTGCGACCTTTCCTGCCACCGTTGTTATGTGAATCACTGCAATTGTTACGTTAGGAACACTGTTGTTAAGTGAATCTGGTTTCCCCCGTTGACTTTACTGGTCAGGGGTCAACAAACGGTGATCAGATGACCCCGAGATGCTGCAACCGTCATAAATACAAGTCAGTTTCCAAGTGTCTGAATTTTGATCACGTGACCATGGGGATGCTGCAACAGTTGTAAAACCATTGAAAAACGGTCAAAAGTCACTTTTTCAGAGCCGTTGTAACTTCATTCTAAACAAACGGTTTACTTCAGTACAGGACTACCTATCCTGGAAGAACTGGGAACCTAGTTAAATGATGGCTTGCTACAAATCTGTTGTGCTATCTGTATTCCATGCTTTGGGTGTGCAAAGCAATAGGATCTTTCTCTCATCCGGGAGCAGTTGGGATATTTGCAAATAAGGGTAGAGACAGGAAGCTTTGGGTCCAAACTTCCTTCCTAAAAGTTATACTTGACCTCAAGATTACACTACTGAGCAGTCCCAAAGGTGTCTTTTGGGGAGGCAACTGGACATTCTTTTTTCTCTTTGAAGACATTTCACTTCTCATCCAAGAAGCTTCTTCAGCTCTGATTGGATAGTGAGGAATGGAAGGATTTATACTCCTTGCAGACAGCTGATCATTTGCCTTCTTTTAGAGAGTCCTTGAGGCCACTTGGAGGTTTACCTGTGTCCTCAGGGTCACCTGAGTGGTGCAAATGGGTGTGGAGCCCTCTTGGAATTGTTGAAAGGACTGTGTTGTAGACTGGAGATAGACCAGCTGCCTGCAAGGAGTATAAATCCTTCCATTTCCCCACAATCCAGTTAGAGCTGGAGAAGCTTCTTGGATGAGAAATGAAACGTCTTCAAAGAAAAACAAGGAAGTCCAGTTGTCTCGTGAAAAGTCATCTTTGGGACAACCATGATGTGGATGACCGAGAATCTCCACAGACTATTGAGCAGTATAAAAATCGACCGTGAACCTGCATCTTTGTTTGTTGTCTTGTAGGTACCATTAGCGGCGTTGACCATGGAGCCTTCCAACAACTCTACGGTGTCCTCCAACTACAGCAATATGTTTAACAAATTTGTCCACCTGGATGGAGAACTCTCGGACAGATTTCATACCTTGTGGATAGTCCTGGTGGTGATCAATACCATCATCTTCCTGATGGGCGTGGTGTTGAACTCTGTAGCTCTCTACGTCTTCTGCTTCCGCACGAAAACGAAAACCACCTCGGTCATCTACACCATCAATCTGATCATCACCGATCTGCTGGTGGGCTTCTCTTTACCTATCCGGATCATTGTGCACTACGTTGCCAAGGACTGCCACACCTGTGCGCTCGTCCACATTTTCACCTATTTTGTCAACATGTACTGTAGCATTCTCTTCCTCACGTGCATCTGCATTGACCGGTACCTGGCGATTGTCCAGGTGGAAGCTTCGCGCAGGTGGAGGAACCCCGACTACGCCAAAGGGATCTGTGCTTTCATCTGGACCTTCGCCACCGTGATCACCTTCTCCATCCTCACCCTGGCCGTGAAGTTCTCCTACTGCTGCATTGCGCAGATTTTGCCCTTGATGGTCTGCGAGTACTTCTTCCCTCTGATCATCCTCACTTTCTTCACCACCAGGATCATGTGCGCCCTTTCCAAGCCCACGCTCATGCACCAGAGCCGGGAGAGGCGGATGAGAGCCGTGCAGCTCCTCATCACGGTCCTGATCATCTTCATGATCTGCTTCACCCCCTTCCACGTGCGCCAGCTGGCCATTGCCATCAACCCAGCCATGTCCTACAACCTCAGCTTGGTGGTCTACCACGTGACCGTCACCTTAAGCAGCCTCAACAGTTGCATGGATCCCATCGTCTACTGCTTTGTCACCAACAACTTCCAGTCCACCATGAAGAACATCTTCCGGAAGACGGAACTTGAGCAAGCCAGCGGGGAGGTGATCAGCATCAACAAAGGGTCTGGCTCAAACGCAATTATGGCGTTTGCGAACTCGATAGGGAACCCCATGGGTTTGGCTTTGCCGAGCAACACCACAAACTCCTAGACTTTGAGAAGCCTACAAGGGTAGAGATGATGTGGACTCTTCCTTTTTGCTAAAAAAAAAAAAAAGATATTTTTTTTTCTCTCAACGTTGTAGCTGGGTTCCAGGATTTTTCAAGCTTTCCAGTGACACACTCGTTTTATTTATGGCAGCTGGCTTTGTCATCTGGGAAATTACTTGGATTGCGTTTGGCACTCCAAATTCCTAAGAATTTCCCCGATTCAGGAATTTACGGAGAAAGGGACATGCCCAGCACCGTGTTTTGCTAGCCTAGAAGCATAGAATAACAAAGTTGGAAGGGACCTTGGAGGTCATCTAGTCCAACCCCCTGCTCAAGCAGGAGACCCCCCATACCATTTCAGACAAATGGCCGTCCAATCTCTTCTTGAAAGCCTCCAGTGATGGGGCGCCCACAACTTCTGAAGGCAAACCGTTCCATTAGTTGATTGTTCTCACCATTACGAAAATTCTCCTTGGTTCTAGGTTGCTTTTCTCCTTGGTTAATTTCCATCCATTCTTTCTCAACTTGCCTTTTGGTGCTTTGGAAAATAGTTTGACTCCCTCTTCTTTGGGGCAGCCCCTCAAATATTGGAACACGGCTGTCATGAAATCCTCTACACCTTGTTTTCACCAGACTAGACCTACCCAATTCTTGCAATTGTTCTTCGTATGTTTTAGCCTCCAGTCCCCTGATCATCTTTGTTGCTCTTCTCTGCACTCTTTCCAGAGTCTCAACGTCTTTTTTATATTGTGGTGACCAAAAGTGGATGCAGGATTCCAAATGTGGCCTTACTAAGGCTTTGTAAAGCAGGACTCATACTTCACGTGATCTTGACTCTATTTATGATGATCTGCAGGACTAAGACAAGGAGAAAATGGATTTTGTAGTACCCGCTCTTATACTTTGGACAAAAAGAGATATAACCAAGCCTTTTGAAATGAAAATAAATCAGGATCACCGTAACCCCAGCAAAGGCAGCTGGCCTTTTGAAAAGACTCACTGCCTCAGCAGACTGAATGCCAGAACCATGACAGTAATCAACAAAATATCTACAGTTGTGATACACTGTACTTTGCGCTGTGAGAGGAATTTATTTCTCAAGAATGTTTTTTGATTTCTGCAAAAAAAGCAACTCGAAGGGGGGGTGGCTGAGCGAAATTAAATGCTGCATGGAGTTGAAAGCAAGTCCCGGGGGGGGGGGGCATTTCAATGCTAAAAAAAAAATAAAAATCAGTGCCAATGAAGGAAGGGTGGTTTTTCAGTTAAATCTGTTCTTAACTTTCCTTCCACGGGCTTTAGCTGCAGCTCCCGTTCCGATTTTATTTAACGAGAGATAAGTTTTAACTTGGGCTATTCTTTCAAATCCGGGTGGAAGTTATTGTAAGAAGAATAATTTGGGGAGGGGGGGGTCCACGAGCCGGGATGGCGCAATAAAAAATGAAATCCAGACATATTGTTGAGAAAGGAGATCCATTTATTCCCAAGAACAAAGAGATTTGTTTTTTGGGGGGGTAGACTACAATAAAATGGGGTCCAGAGACTTGGTTTTATGGGGGGGGTCTGGTCCTTGGTATGGATTTATTTTGAGTGGATCTGGCCCTTTGCTTTATCCTGAGTGGGTTCCTGCCTCCCCCCTTGGAGCCAGCGAGATGCTAAAACGGGGAGAGGGAGATCAGAAGCCTAACATTATCTGCAAGCATCTTGCAAGGGAAAAAGACAAAATAAGGAATATACAAGAACATAAAGACACACACATAGACACACAAAGAGGGAGACCTTTCAGGCAAGAAGTGAGTAGAAAAAGGGCATCTGTGATCGTGTCACGAAACCCCTGGCCCTTGTCCAAAACGATGATTGTTCTTAAAGATGTTCACAGAAATAAAAGAGAAACGGGAAACAAGATCAATGTGAATTTATTTATTTATTTTTAATTTTTTATTAAGTACAAAGAAGAAAAAAGGATTGAAAACGTTGAACATGGTAAATCGTCTTTGACTGACATCTCAGTCCATATTGTACATTAATTACATATAATATACCTATACACAACTATATAGGTATAACTAACAGTTGTTAGTTTATTAAACCGTTGTTTTTATTTATCCCGGTGTTCGACTACTTCTCTCAACATGAATATACCTGGGATTCGCGTTTTTAGTATAATTAGAGACAATATACAACTATACATTTCTAGTCTCTATCTCAGTGTATCTCTTTACTGCGACCTCCGTTTTTTTTCTCTCCATCTATAAAATTTATTCCATATTCGATAAAATTCTGTTTCTTCCTGATTTTTTAATCTTTTAGTTATCCTGTCTAGTTCTGCGCAATACATAATTTTCTTTATTAGTGCTTCCCCACTCGGCACTTCCATTGCTTTCTACTTTTGAGCAAATAGTATCCTTGCTGCTGTGACCACATGGATAATTAAATATGTGTCCTCTTTATTTACATTTTTCTCTAGTATTCCTAATAGTAATGTCTCCGGTTTGTATTAAATGTTTTGCCTAGTCATTTCTATTGCCCAATCCCAGACCATACGCCAGTACACCTGTGCTTCTCTACATGTCCACCATACATGAAAAAAGGTGCCCTGTGTGTGTGTCTGTGTGTGTTTGTACGTATCTCTGTGTGTCAGAGTGTGTGTGTGTGTGTATCACAGAAAAACAACACAGGTAGTCCTCAACTGACGACGAAATGTCTGTCGCTAAGGGAGACAGTTGTTAAGGGACTTTTGCCTCCATTTTATGATTTTTCTTGCCACAGTTTTTAAGTGAACCACGGCAGTTGCTAAGCTAGTAATACAGTTGTTGTGTGAATCTGGCCTCCCCATGCTTGTCAGAAGGTCACAAAAGGGGATCACGTGATCCCGGGACGCTGCAACCGTCATAAACACGAATCACTTGCCCAGCGTGTGAATTTGGATCACGTGACCAGGAGGACGCTGCAACGGTTGTAAATGTCAAAAAAGGCCATCCATCACTTTTTCCAGCGCTGTTGTAACTTTGAACAGTCACTAAACAAACGGTTGTAAATCAGGGACTAACTGTATTGCACTCTTTTTAATTAGCAGGTCCATAAATTGCCATATAATAATAATAATAATAATAATAATAATAACAACAACAACAACAACAGTTGGAAGGGGCCTTGGAGGTCATCTAATCCAACCCCTTGCTCAGGCAGGAAACCCTATACCATTTCAGACAAATGGCTGTCCAGTCTCTTCTTAAAAACTTTCAGTGTTGGAGCATTCACAGCTTCTGGAGGCAGGTTGTTCCACTGGTTAATTGTTCTCACTGTCAGGAAGTTTCTCCTTAGTTCTAGTTTGCTTCTCTCCTTGATGAGTTTCCATTCGTTGCTTCTTGTCCTGCCTTCAGGCTCTTTGGAAAATAGCTTGACTCCCTCTTCTTTGGGGCAGCCCCTGAGATACTGGAACACTGCTATCCTGTCCCCCCTCGTCCTTCTCTTCATTAAACTAGACATCCCCAATTCCAGCAACCGTTCCTCATATGTTTTAGCCTCCAGTCCCCTAATCATCTTTGTTGCTCTTCTCTGCACTCTTTCCAGAGTCTCAACATCTTTTTTACATCGTGGTGACCAAAACTGGATGCAGTATTCCAAGTGTGACCTTACCAAGGCATTGTAAAGTGGTATTAATACTTCACGTGATCTTGATTCCATCCCTCTGTTAATGCAGCCCAGCACTGTGTTGGCTTTTTTGGCAGCTGCAGCACACGGCTGGATCCTATTTAAGTGATTGTCCATTAAGACTCTGAGATCCCTCTCACAGTTACTATTTCTTTTTTTTTTCTCTCCTTTTAGCTAAAAGCCCATAAGAGGATTCCAGTCTTTAATAAAAACGCTGGCCCTTTCTATGTGTTTGGCATGTGCAACACGTGTAAAAAAAAAAAAGGCAGGGCTTTGCAAAGTCTTGCCAGCCATTTTGACTTTTTTGACCCCGTCCCCCTTGGGCACCCTACAGATATGCACAGAGTAATTCTCTGTTCAGAACACAGTGCACATGGAACAGCAAGATTTTCAGCAATAAACAACCCGAGTTGTGATTTCAAAGTCTATAGTCCTTCCCAGCGCTTCATCTGCAGCATGAAACCACTTGACAAGCTAAACGTGGAATATATTATATCATGAAAATATGTTCTCATCAGGAGAAGATTTCCCAAGTCCTTCTCTTCTTCTCCCTCTAAGCAGAGCTGGGAACAGGACAGCATAAATAAGATTCTCCTCAGCTTAGAAAAGGACTGCTAAAATAAGATTTCATCCCCAGGGAGAAGAAGAAAAAAATAGGGCAAAATAAAAACAAAAAAAGACTTGATGGCAATTAATTCATAAGTGTGGACACCATGAGCAGAGAGGAAAACAAATATCCCTATTATTTAACGTTGTTGAAAAGAGAAGAAAAGTGATTAAGGGCTGACACATTCCTGCAACTTACAGGCTACTTGTTCCTGTTTGAAAGATGGCGGAATTGGAAGGTTCCAGAATCTGGAACAATGAAGGTCAACTTAAAGGTTGAGCTTCAGAACTATATACAGGTAACGTGTCATTGACTTCCTGTAGAAAGCATAGGTAGTCCTCGACTTACGAGCCTAGTGTTTTCGTCGCTAAACAAGACAATCGTTAAGTGAGTTTGGCCCCATTTTGCGACCTTACTTGCCACAGTTTTAAAGGAATCCCTGCAGTCGTTAAGTTAGTAGCATGGTTGTTTGGGGAATCTGCCTTCTCCGTTGACTTTGCGTGTCGCAAAAGATGATCACGTGATACCCCCCAGAACAGGGCAACCGTCATAAATAGAAACCAGTTGCCCAGCATCCGAATCTTGATCACGTGACCTTGGGGATGCTGTAATGTTCGTAAGTATGGCAAAATGTCATAATAATAATAATAATAATAATAATAATAATAATAATAATAGATCAGCAAGTTAAGATCACATGCAAGCAAGCTAGAACAGATAAAAGAAAAGAAGCTGAAGAACAAGAAGACCAAAGAATACCTAATCAAGAAATACCACTTAGAAACAAGGAAGATCAAGGAAGCACTGGAAATAATAAAGCAACAAATAACAGCTATAGCCAGGAAAATCAGTAGATATGAAGCTCGAATTGCAAACTATAGGCAGAACCTCCAATTTCAATCCAATCAGAAACGTTTCTACCAATCCATCAATGGAGAAACTGCAAGGAATCAGTCAGTACCTGACAAGGAAGAAACAGTGCAGTTCTGGAAGCAGATATGGGATAACCCAAAGAAATACAACAAGGATGCGGCTTGGTTAAAAGAGGTGGATGCAAATAAAACAGAAGTTGAAATGAAAGAACTAGTAATAACAACAAAAATGGTAGAAAAAAGAGCAAAGAAAATCAAAAA